ACCCGATGGTGCGAGTGGCTTCTATGGCGCCGCAGGCGCATGCCGACTGTCCGCTCATCGTGGCGCTGGACTTCGGCCAGGCGTTCCCCAGCCTCAGTCAGGAGTGCCTCTTCGCGGTCCTGGAAGAGCTGCAGCTTCACGGCGCTCTACTGGCGGCTTCTCGGTCGCTCTGCGCGATGGTCGTCTCTGTCGGCCGCAGTGGAGGGCTCGCGCGCGACCTCTTCCAGATCTTTCGCGGCTCCATGAAGGGCTGCGCGCTCTTCGGCAGCCTTTTCGCCGTGGCGACGTCACCCATCCTTGGAGATCTCAGGCTCGGCTTGAAGGTTGCGCGTCGGGGGCTCTTTCGTGCGTGCGCAGATGATATTGGAGGCGCGTTCTCCTTGATCGCGTCGATCTTCGCTTCCTTCGCCGAGTCGTGGCAGTCGCCGAGACGCTTGCGAATCTGAAGCGCAGGCCGCCGAAGTGCGTGATCGACCCGCTCGCCGGCGTGTATGGGCCTGCCTTGGTTGCCGCCGCCTCGGATTATTTAGAGCTGCACATTGCGGATTTCAAGGTATTCAACATAGAGGCTGCACTATTATACTTGGGCGTGTGGCTTGGGCCCGGCGCCTCCGCGATGCTCTCCCGGGGAGCGCCCTGGGCCAAGTGCCGCTCCAGAGTGGGGGCGCTCGCAGCATCTTCGGCGCCGGCTTCTCTGAACTCCATCAGCTACGTGACAAGGGCGCTCCCAACGACGGGTCATGTGGCTCAAATTCTGCCACTCCCTGCGCAGCGACAGCAGTTTGATACTCACGTGTTGGTGCGACTCCTTCGGTGCATGAGCTTATTCTGTCTTGGGCAATGGGGTGGCCCCAAGCTGCGCGCTTTCGCGCCTTCGTGCAATGCTGTTCGTTTTCGGTTGGGGCTGTCCACTGATCCCGAGCATGCAGGGTGTCTTCGTCTCCTTCGCGCTGCGGCTGGACGATGGGCCCCCTGCAGGTGCCTGGCGGACCTCGCGGGCAACTTGCCACCGTGCTCCTGGGAACTACCAGCGCTTGTCGAGTATCTGGCGCAGGCGACCAGCGCCAGCGATTCCCTTTGAACGGCGGCAGCCAGTGCTCTGCTTCACGAACGCCCCGCTGCTCGGCGTTTGGTGCAGCGCACGGCCTACAGCGCCCTTATTCGTGACGTGATGCGCCCCTTCCTGGTGGGCACCATCGACTGCGACCCCTCGCTGGTCGACGTCATTATTCGTCGATGGTCCATGTGGTTTCCGCCCGAGCGCCGAGCTTCGTGGGTGACCTTGGGCCGCTCTTCGAAAGGAGCTCATGTGGTTTCCCATCGCTTGGGCTTCGTCTACGTTGCGAGGGCACTATAGTGGCTGGCTTACCTCGGCGAGAATCTCCACCCCAACTGGGCTCCGCTCAAATATCTTCGGGTGTGAGGGGTGCAATGATGAGATTGGTCACTACTGGGAGTGTCGTGGCCTCGCTTGGGTCATCGCGATGGCAAGTCGGGTGGCGGGCGCCAGCTCCTGGCGGTGTTCTCGACCGGTGGGGGCTTCGCGGAGCACTCGACGGCGATCTCATGAACGCCCGGAGGACTACCATTATCTACCGCGGCCTGCGGCACCTCGATTTCGTCGCCTCTGATGTGCTGCCCCGTGCAGAGTACGGCGCTACGCGCGTGCGTGCGCTTGCCCACCCCGCCGCAGGAGGATTTCGTGTTACTGAGCGACCGCCGTCCCCACGGTTATCGTTTCAGCCGGCTGTTTCCGAGGTTTCGACCGGCTCCTTTGTTGACACAGTTCCTCATCTTCTGGACTAGCTACATCATCGGCATCATTTGCTGCATGATCTGCTTCCACATCGCGCGCGGTATCCAGTGGCATTCGGCGAGCAGCACTTTGCCATCGAGGCCCCTGTTGGCACTAGTCAGGTCCTGCTCAAACGGCTGAGGGTCCTCAGTGAACTGATCGAATCGTGGGCGCGAAACTTGACGCCGTCCCTGTACCTATCGGCTTCGCAGCGCCTGGACTTCGAGGACTGGATGGTCTGGGTTTACGGACATGGTTGCTGACACCTTCTGGTATCGTGCTTTCATGGGGCTCTTCTCGACAGGTGCCATCGGCGAGCGCGCGAATGGCCCTCAGCCTCGCGATGGTACACGTGGCATGGTACAACTCTGCAGTCGGTCGGCTACGCCGGCTTGGGCATCTTTCTGGGCGTTGGCCTGAGGGAGGACTCTCGCGCCGCCGTGCACTTCGTGTCCGTGGTGAGCAACGTCTTGCCCTTCGATACTGCGCGCGCTCAGAAGCTGCCGTGCTCCCTCATGTTCGGGAGCTTCTTCTTCCTGCGCGCCCGAGAGACCGAGAGCTTCTCGCGGAACTGGCGCTCGACGCGGATGCGGAACTTTATGCTATGACTACGCGCAGTGAATCCCTAGCGCTGAACATCGAGAAGCTTGGTAGTGCTGACTGGGGCCGCGAACCTGCGTCTCCGCCGGGGCCGTGTAAGGCGCCATCTACTTCGAGGTCATGCCCGATTTCGTTTGCCCCGTCTCCGTCGATTTCGTCCTCCAGCCCATCCGTGCGTCTTGGCGCGCCCGCTCCCGTGCCTGCTCTCGTCGTTTCTCATCGTCCTGGCGCTTCATCTGCTGCCGCGCCTACTCGCACCCGGTTTGTGCAGCGGTGTCGCGGCCGAATATGAGGGCCCTGATGGAGATGATGTTAGTATTGACAGGCCTGGGTACCCCATCCCTACCAACGACGACGTTGCCCTCATGATCGATGCTGCGGCTGCCGAGGGCGTGGGTGCTGACGGCCATGGCCCAACTCACCAGCCGCCCTATGACGATGATGTGATGGACCCTTCGGAGTATTATCATCAGTTTGGTCCTATCCTATCTGACGCAGAGTTCGAGGCCCAAGTTCATGCTGCGATCTGCCGCTCGCGCGACGGACGCGATGGCATTCTCAGGGATCCGACGGCGGCGTCGTCTGGCGAGCCGCCTCTCGGTGTGCCTCCACCTGTTGTCGTGGGCCCTGCTGCTTCGGACAACAGCAGTGACGACGACGACTTCGACGCGGTCGTGGCAGCCCGTGGTTTCGGTGCTGTGGGAGGCGTGGCCATTGCTCTCTCTCTGATGATATGTCGGTTGGAACTCAGGCGGCGTCGGGGGCTGTCCCCGCGACCGCGCCAGAAGATCGGCGAGGTCGCTGCTGTTCCCATGATGGTCCACAGTCTGGTACGTCGGTTGGAGCTCCGACGGTGGTGGGGGCCCCCCCCGCGACCGCGCGCCGAGAACAGCCTCTTGTAGGCGGTGCCTCTGGTGGAGTTCACTCTGACAATCCGTCTGGAAGCCCGTCGGCGGTGGGGGCCTTCCCGGAGACCCCGCAAGTGCGAGAGCTTCCTGCAGCTGGTGCTCCTGCTGAAGTGTACTCTGGCATGTCGGTTGGAGCTCCGGCGGCGGTGGGGGCCTTCCCCGCGGCCGCTTCGAGTTCGCCGCTGGATGCGCCGCGTGCTTGGAGTGCGGCGGTCCTCGATGCTGTTCGAGCGCTTCCTGCTACAGCGGCGCCTGCTTCCTCAGCATGCGAATACACTGGCGCCTGCCGCGTTGCAGTATCTCGGCGACACCTACGCGCTCACCGACGACCAGCGTGAGCTCGACAGTCCTGGCTCGCTGCTGGATTTCTCCTCTGGTTCGTCCGAGCGCCTGCGCCGAGGCTGCCGGATGGCGCGGATCTTCCCATACTTGAAAACCATGATGACGATGCCCTGCTCGCGGACATGGCTGCCGATGAGCTGGACGGTGATGCTCCGAACATTCTAGCCGAACTTCTGGAGATGGTGAACGGCGCTGACATGGTCGAGGAAGAGGATGCGGACCGCTCAGAGCTGGTGGCAGCCGCTCAGCAGCCTGGCGATGATGATAAAGAAAAGGAGGGATTGGCAGTCCCCCCGCCTGCTGATGTGGACCCGCCTGGCGAGCGCTTCGCTGGCTTCCATGTCCACATCGACGACGGAGAGATGTCGGACAACGGGGGCGTCATCCCGTTCGTGGGACACGTCGACGCCGCTGTGCCAGCATTTCGTCCCGTCCGAGATCCAGACCCAGCATGACAATCGCTTTCGCGCTCTTGCTCCAGAGCCGGCGGCAGCAATGGAGGCCGCCACTCATGCGCTCGCGGCGTGCGCTGGCATCGACATGGTGCCGACAGCACCTGCCGACGACACTCTTGGTCCTCCTCCACGTGCTGACGAACCTGTTCCTGATGACGGCCTGTCTGTCGTTGTCTTTGCAGCTGCGACCGACGAATTCAACGACGACTTTAATTCCCAGGCGCCCTCCGACGAGGAGCTCCTGAGGACAGGCTCCGCGAGTGCCGCGGGCGGCGCGGCGAGCGCGCCCCAGTGGAGGATGGATGGTGCCGTGGGGTCCTCCTCCTCCTCCTCCTCCTCCTCCTCCTCCTCTTCCTCCTCCTCCTCCTCCTCCTCCTCCTCTTCTCCTATGCTGCCACGATCGGTTCACTATCCGCTCCCATGGAGCCCGCGCCCAACGCAGTGCTCACCGCAGCACGTGCCACCATGAGCCGCCAGTCTTTCCAGAGACACGCGCCGCCCCCAGGGCAATGTGATTCCCAACCTCCTCGCATCTGCAACAACAACTCCACGAAATGTTTTTGGCACTCGAGCAGCAGTAAGTGACAGCAGGGTCCCCCGACAGGCACGGCCTGCAGCGGCCATCGGGTGCAAAACCACCACGGCAGGCAGCGACGGTCAAGTGTTCGGGGTGGGCGCCATTGGAGCTTCTCCTCCCCTCGTGAAGCTGTTCTATTCGGGCCGTCCGGGTGGGGTTGGGGGGCAAAATGCATCAATGCCCACCGCCTGCCGGGGCCCCCGCAGGTCGACCCCCCAGGCGGCAGTCATGGGCACCCCCCCCGCCTCGCGGGGTGATCAGCTCTCCGAGCGTTTTTGTTCGCCCCGCTGTTCGGACATCGGCATTCTCTCCTCCCCTCGGAGGAGCGGTGCCGCGGCCCCCGGAGGCGAGGGCGCCCCGCCAGACGGTGCGCCCGCCGCGGCGAGCGCCTCGCCCCAGTGGTTGGCCCGCCTCGGTGCAGGCGGCCCCAGTAACGGCTTGGCGGTGGGCCTGGAGGAGCCAAAGGACCCACGGGTCCGAAGGTGGTCAGCACCCAGCAAACAGGGTCCCTGGAGTAGAGGCGTCTTGGGAGTTTTTCGATGTTTGCGGCCCCCTGGAGCCTTCCACGGGTCCTTCGGCCGTGAGAAAGCAGCACCCTGGAGCCCTCCACGGCCCCGGTGTCCGAGTAGATCGGGTCGGGGTATCGCGCCGCATCGTCGATGCATCGGCGATGCGGCTCAATGTGGAGCCCGAATTCCTCGACGCCGGCGTCGCCGATGCATCGCCGAAGTCGCATCGGCGATGCGGCGCGATTATCTGACCCTGCCTACTCGGATCCCCCTTAGACGGGGCCCAGAGGGTCTCTGCTCGGAGGAGGGCCGTGTCGAGACAAGAGGCGACCCTCCCTGGCGAGTTTCGTCCCTCTTTGGGCCTCCTGGGGGCTTCTCGCCGCCACGGCTGGATCCGCACCGGAAAACAGGTCGGGATGCACCCTGGGAGGGGTCCTGGAAGTGATTTAGAAGGATTTGGGCCAGTCGGAAGGGCCGCCGTTGTCTCAATTGGCCCTCCTCCGATTTGCAAACCTGCAATGGTCATATCCATCATCGTCCTCGTGGTTGGCATCACCGCATTTCGGTGCCGACCTCGTGAATTTCCTCGGCCCCTGACGGCGCGACCCCCTAGAGTGCCATCGCGTTGGCCTTGTCAACCTTGGGGATAGGGATACAGTCGAGGCTTCGGCCCTGAGGGATTTCAGAGAGGCCTCAGATGAGGATAAATCGCCCGCAGGGCGTTGCGGAACGCGTTTGAAAGCGGTCCAGAGCGCCGTGGAAGGCTTAATATGTCCTCCGGACGCCAGCTCTTAGAGAGTACCGATTTATCCTCATCGGAGTTTAGCCTTATCCTGCTTTCGTCTTAGAAGGTAGTGCCTTGAGGGTTTCCAAGTAGAAAGCGCAAATCTGGTGCGACCCAAATAAGGGGGCACTTTCCTAAACAAGTACCCAAGCAAGGAAGGACACACATAAGTAAGGATGCATGTCCTGCGGTGCATTGTTTGGCCTCGCTTTGCATTGCGTTGCTTGGCATTGCTTGGCATTCTGTGAGGCACTGCATCGCCTGGCATTGCCTGGCTTTGTATTGCTTTGCACTGCTTGGCATTACTTGGCATTACTTGGCACTACTTAGCATTGCTCGACATTGCTTGGCTTTTCACTGCTAGCGTTATTTGGCATCACCTGTCATTGCATGTTAGTGCGAAGGGAGCTTAAGGACGGGCACGGGATTGACGGGACAAATGACGGCGACACGTTCACCATTCTCCGTATCTCCACTATATGATTGCTCAAGCTTTCACGGGTTCGCTCGCATGAGCCTCCCCCGCGGGCCCTCCGCTGCCGTGGCGGCGGCCGTGCTCCATGGCCTGGCGGCAGTAGGGCTCTGGGGATCTGCGCCCCAGCCCGGCTGCCCGCTGCCGGTGTGCCCGCAGCCGGTGTGCCCGATTCCCTTCTGCCCGGCCCGTGAGCCGGCTGCGGGGCCGCCAGTCGCGGGCCCGCCAGGAGGCTCTGCGGCTCTCGACTTGGGTGAGGTGCCCGAGGAGTTGGCTGAGATCCGCTTGGCCGCCGTCCGCTTGGAGGAGCAGATCGCGCTGGTGCAGGCGGCGCTCGAGGCGGCCTGGAATCTCTGGCCAGTGGTCTGGGTGTTCGTGGGCGGCTTTGTTCGCGACGTGACGGGTCGCGCGCTCGGCTACTGTGATCGTCGGCTCAATGCTGTCAAGTCGGAAGTTGCAGATCTTCTCGTCGAGCGGCTTCGTCGTGGAGGAGGCGGACTTTATGCGTGAGCTCCGCCTGGGCCAGCGATTCGCTCTGTGGTACGAGGACGACACGTACTGGCACGAGCGCGTCGCGCTGGCGCGAGTGCGGCCTGGAGTGTGGATCGACACGACGCCAGATGGCGATAGGTATCCTGAGAATGTTCGTTGCCGCCGCGGCACTTCGGGCGCGGTGCAGGCTGTGCTGCTGGACCCCACGCGCGAGGTGTTGAGCAAGATGCGTGGCCAGTTCTATCGGTTTCGTGCTGAGCTGGAGGCGGCCGACCTGGTGGAGCAGATCGAGCTCGCTGAGGGCGAGGCCTTCGGCATCACCCGACGCCATCAGGAGGAGCCCGAGGCCGTCGTGCTCTGTGACGGCAGCCACGTCGAGTACCGCGCGCCGATGGACTCGGACGGCGACCAGCTGGTGCCTATGGCGGCGGCCGCCGGAGGTGAGCCCGCCGCGGTGGCGGCTGGCGGCGCGGTGCCGCCCGGGCCGACGCCCGCCGAGGGCCCGTCGGACGTCGCCCGGCCCATCATCGACCCTCTGCACCCAGACTTCGGGCGCGAGCGGCATCCCGCCCTGGACGCGGAAGTGGCAAGTGAGTAATGGATGGCTCTCGACTCCCGCTGGCGCTACGTGCCGGTCGAGCGAGTGGCGTTGGCCGACGTGAGCTCCTTCCTCGACGTCGCTCGGACCACGATCGCCAAGATCATCGACGACGAGGGAGGCGCCCCTGCCCCGGTCGACGGCGGCCTTGAGGGGCGTCTGAAGGATGCGCTCGACGGCGGCACGAAGACACCTCCAGCAGTGGAGGACGCCTGGACCTTGACGGTCAACTATGACGACACCGGGGAGCGATACAAGGGGTGGCGGGCGGTGTGCGCGGAGATCTCGTACAGCCACTTCGCTGACTGGGAGAAGCGCCACGAGGGCCCCGCCACGACCCTGCCGCTGTTCAAAAATATCCAGCGGCAAAATGGAGATCCGAGGCTCTTCTGCCCGATCTGGTGTCGGGAGGCTGGGGTCAGTCCCCAAGAGCGGGCCGGCATCGAGATGAAGCTGCTCCTGGACATCCTGTACCTGAGCGGCTGCTACGATCAGGCGAGGGGCCCCTCGCTGGCCTGCATCGAGTCGGTCTCGAGACGGGTCTGCCAGATCATCGAGGCGTGCTCGACGGGCGTCCCTGGGCGCGCGAACTGGGAGGGGGTGAAGCACTTCGCGCCCGTCTCCACGGCGGCTTCGGCGGTGCCGCCCGAGCTGCGGTCGCGCACCCATCGCCAGGCCACGGAGGAGGTGGAGATTGAGAGCGCGCGGCTGCGCGCGCGTGGCTAGCAGCCGGCTGGTGGCGCCGACGCCTCTCAGCCCGCGGGCGCCGCTGGTGCTGGAGGCGGTGGAGGCCGCGGCAGCGGCCAAAGGCGACGAGGTTGTTGGGCGTGGGCAGCCTCGCCAGGGCGCAGGTGCCGACGGCGGGGAGAGGGTCCCGCTGAAGCCGGGGTGATGGGCCAGGCTGGCGCTGGCGGTGGTCGACTCAGCGCTGGAGGCCCAGACCATGCGGCGGGCGACGATCGCGTGAGGCGAGTCGCTGTGCTGCCCCTTTTTCTTATCTCCCTCGCGCCGGCGCCGGCTGTTCCGAGCGGACGTGGTCGCCCGGCCGCGGGCCTGCGAGGCCATTTGCGTCGCTTGAATGCTGACGTCAACGCTCCGCGAAGGCTTTGAATTGGATGGCGTGAAACAGGCGCCAGCCCGTTATGGGCCGCCCCGGGCCCCCGAGCAGGCTAGCGTGCATGCGCGCATCCGATATAGGATCAGTTCCCTCTTGACCCCGGACGTCGCGATCCCTGGCCAGCGAGCGGCTTTCCTCGAGCTGCTGCGCGGCCGGGCTGTGTGCGATACAGAGCCCGGTGGACACAACTTGGCGAGTTTCTCCAATGTCGCTTCTGCGAGCCTGCTAGACAGTCTCGAGGGCGCCCCTTCGGTGAGCGAGGTTGTGCGCCCAGAGGCGAGCCAGTTTTTGGAGCAAAACTACGAGCGCATGCTGTTCACCGCTTCGGATTTTTTGGAGCGACAGGAGTCGCTGATCCCTATGGGCCCACATTGGGGTTCCGTGCTCTCTTGCAGCCGCCGCAAGTTTCTGCGGTTGATGCGGGCGCTGCTCCGGTAGGCCCGGTGACGCTTCTGCCTGCCTGGTCGTCTCGGGAGCGAGTCGGAATGTTTTTCGCGATGAAGACCGGAAAAATCAAGAGTGGGCGCATAATTAATGCACGTCGTGCGAATAGACGTTTCGCTGACTCCCCTGGAGCCCGCCTTTGTTCGTCCGAGAGCCTCGCTAGAATCGAGGTCGCTTTCCCGTCTGGCTGCTCCAGTCTCTTCCCCGACCAGCTTTGTAGCGCCCGGATGTCTTTGGGGCTGGCGGATGTTGAGGACGACGTCCCGTCGTTTCCGGCTGCCCGAGGGCCTGGCCAGTTTCTGTGGGTTGGGCGCCGCTGCCGCGGGGGAGTTGAACGCTGTGGGCCGGGGCGTCAATGGGGCCGTCTTGGGGGCTGATGACTGGGTCGATATCTGCTGGGCCTCTCTTCCCATGTGTTTCTCCTGGCTGTTATGCTTTTGCCGGCGCGCGGAGTGGCGGCGCATGTCTGAAGTTTCCGGCCTTTCTGGATCGACCCTACTTTGAGATCGCGGAAGGCCGGGCGTCTTCGGCGTCGCGCGCGCCAGATGGGGAGGTGGCCGTCTTGGAGGGCTCTGGTGCTTGTCATTATATTTACGCCGACCATTTCGGGGTCCTGTCGTGCGACCCCTCCCCGACGTCCTCCATCCTGTCGGATTCCGCGGGCCGTTTCGAGGAGGTGGGGCTGATGACCTACGAGCACGAAGTGAGCGCTACCTCGCCGAAAACCCTGGGAACTCATTTTGATTTCGAAGGGCTCGGAGTTGCGCTTGCGCCCGCCCGCCTGGGAAATGCGGCAGGGGTGCTTCATGCTCTGACGTGTCGTAAGCGTCCTGGACGAGCGTGGGAGTTGCTGTTGGGTCACCTCGCGTTCTGTGCTTTGATCGATCGAAGTATGATGAGTGCTTTCAGAAGTAAATGCGCCTTCGTTAACAAGCACTATGCCACGCCCATGCCTTTGTGGACTACGGCTCGTCAGGGAATGTTGACCGCGGCCTCCCTGTTGTTCCTCGTGGGTGCCTCGTGGGCCCTGCCCTGGGCCCCCGCTGTAGTGGCGACAGATGCGATGGGGGAAGGCCTCGTGGCCACGGTCTCAGATTGGGACCCCGTGCAGGTTGCGCAGGTTGGGGGGATCATGGAGAGGGGGCGTTTTCGGAGGCTCCTATAGTTTCAGCTCGGGCAAGGTTTTTCGGAAGCTTGGAGGAGCTGGGGTCAGACGCGGACTTCGATGGGCCTGACCGCCCCTATGAAGTCGATGCCAGCTTTCCTGAGGCCCCCCGCGAGCTTCTTTCGGAGGCCCACTGGAGTGCCCTGCTGGACAGGCCCTGGAAGCATTTCGATGGGGGCATTTTCATTCTGGAAGCGAGGGCCTTGCTCCTTTCCAGGCGGCGGTGAGTGAGTGCCAGATTGCGAATGCGCGTATTCTTTTCTTGGTGGATTACAATGGGGTTGTTTGGCCTTCGCCGGAGGACTTACTGCAGATTTCAGAACTCTTGTGTGTGTGTGTGGGTGTGTGAGGCGCATGGGATCCTGGTGTCTGTCTCTTGGGCTGCGCGTCTGTTTCCTCTGGATGCCGTCGGAGCGGAGCGCGGCAGATGAACGTTTGCGACGTTTCTCCGTGGAAAATGTTGGCTCACCTGCTGATCTCGATTGCGTTAGCGATCCCGTGCCTGATGCCAGGATGCGGCGCCTGGCGGCCCCAGCCTGGGCCCGGCACGGGCGGTGCCGCGGGCGAGGGCTGGGGCGGATCGCCAGCCCGCGGGGTCGGCCGCCGCTCCTACGAAGCGCGTCGCCGCGAGGAACCTGGTGGCCACGGCGCCGGCGCCGATGGCTGGCCGGCCGACCCGGGCCCTTCGCTTGGAGCCTGGGGGCAAGCTGGTGAAGCGGCTCAAGCGGGCGCCCGTGGACACGGACCTGGCGCTTCTCGACGATCTGAGCCATGCTGCGACAACGGCGAACGGCGAGGACAGCGACGCGAACTCCGACTCGGTGGGGATCACGGTGCGGCCGGGTCGCAAGGCGCGGGTGCTTGCGCCCCCCGCAGTGGGCCGGTCTCGTCTGTCGAATCAGGTCGCCTTCGCGGACTTGGTCTTCTGCCTTTGGAGTCCAGTCGAACGCCGAATTCCAGCGTCGCGAGCTGGTCATCGGCTGGAGGGGGCGGGCCCGCGAGATTCGCGGGCTTATCGGCGCGGCCGCCGAGGTGGGCGCGTCGGTGGCGCGGCGCCTACAAGAACTCTTCGACGAGGGCTCTTGGGAGCCTTTGGAGCCATCTTGGGGCCATCCTGGAGGTCATGGATCAAAGAAGGCGGGCGAGAACTTGAGCAAGGGCGAGAAGCTGGTGGCCAGACTGGGGCATTTCCTGCCCCTCTCGGGCGGCATGGCAACCTTCACCTGTCGCGCAGTTATCGTGCGCTCAAGGGTTGGAGGCGCGGTTGCCCGCCCCGGTCGCGCCGCCCCCTGGCCCGCGGCATCTGGGCGGCTATGATTTGGGGGCTTTGCCGGGCCAACTACTGGCGCGTGGCGGTGTGCGCGCTGTTCATGCTGGTGACGTGCGTGCGGCCGTCCGAACCGCTGGAGCTACTGAAGGAGGACCTGTTGGCGCCCGCGCACGGACTCTCTGCCCCGTGGATCTGCTTCGCTCTCGGGCAGGAGAGAGGTCAGGCCTCGACGTGCGCGACGGACGAGAGCATCGACCTCAGCTGCCAGTGAGCGCCGTTTCCCCCGTCTGATTGCGGCGCTCCGAGCAGGGGCTGCAGTGGGGAAAGGTGTTCAACTTCCTTTGCAGTGCCTACGCGCGCCAGTTCAAACTCGTCTGCAAGAAGCTGGGCGCGACCGCCGTCCCATTTCAGGCAAGGCACTCAGGCGCCTCAATCGACGCCGCCGTGAATTGCCGGGCCCGCGCCTAGATCGAGAACCGAGGAGATGGAAGGCGGGCCAGTCAGTGTTGCGCTACGACAGCAAGGCCAAGATCGTAGAGAGCTTCGACGAGCTGCCCGACTACTTGGCGTCGCACGTGAAAAGGTGCGAGCTCCAGCTCGGGGCCCTTTTGCGCGGCCAGGTCGAGCCCTCGGCCATCGCGCAGCCCGCCATCCCGGTCTCGGCCCCAAAGAAGCGACGCCGTACCTAGCTGGCCTTTCCGGCGGGGCGGGCGGAGCGGGCCGAGCGGCGGGCAAGTGCGGCGTCCGAGTTAGATTGTGGGACAAATCTATGTCAGACGACTTGGATCTCGCGAGTTTGAACAATATCAAGCTTCTCTGCTCGAAGGCCAAGGCGAATAAGCTCGTTGCCGCCATGGTAATTATTGAATGCCGCTCTTGGGTTATAGCACGCCGCAGGACCGACGTGATCTGATCGCGAGCAGAGCCCTGGGGAGTTCTCAACGGACAATGATCGGGAAGCCCTCAGGAGCGGAAATCTCCTGGCCGTCGGATCCTCAAATTCATTTGGTTTATCCACTCTCTGGGTATCCCGTGGGCCGTCGAGAATCCTGCCGCAAGTGTCCTCTGATAGGTGCCAGGCTTCTTGCAGCTCGCGAAGGACCCCAAATTGCATGAAGTATTATCGACCAGTGCTCGTTTTGGAACCCCGTGGCGAAAGCGTACCAGCTTATGTTGGAAATTGAAATGCTGCTGACGTCTCTTTCTGTGATCAACATGTATACCAGGGGCGGGGGGTCTGCCAGTTCTCGGGCAAACGTCATGTTGAGCTCGAAGGAAAATAATGATCTCCCAGGCCGAAACTTACCCGCCCAAATTCTCTAAGGTCCTGACCAAGATCCAGTGCAGTACCGCAGTATACCAGCGAGCTTAGCTCTACTCCAGCAACTCATAGGCGTACTTCCTCTTCGGGACGTTTTGGGAATCAGCTGTTACATTATGTTGAGTATGAACTCACCATCTGTCTCATATCCGTTTGGGGCCAGTGCGTGAAGAGGGTGGCACTGTTGATGAGACACAATGCTGTCCAGAAAACGGATAGCAGGCATCTCGTGCTAGTGCGAAGGGAGCTTGCGGACGGGCACGGGATTGAGGGGACACATGACGGCGACACGTTCACCATTCTGCGTGTCTCCACCATATTATTGCTCAAGCTTCCCCCCCTCCACTCCCCCCTTGTCGGTGTCGTCTCGATTCCACGTTTCAAGGGGAATCATATATTATATTATATTGAGTGGAACTCACTAGCTTTCTCATATCCGTTTGGGGCCAGTGCGTGAGGACGGTCGCAGAGTTGATGAGACACAATGCTGACCAGAAAAACGGATTGCAGGCCCCTCGCGGCATTGTTTTCGCCATTGCATCGCCTGGCATTGCTTGGTTTTGCAGTGCTTTGCGCTGCTAGGACAATTTCTTGGCATTCTTTGGCATTGCTTCGCATTGCTTGACATTGTTTGGGATAATTTTGGCAAGGCTTGCACTGCTTGGCAGTTCTTGGTATTCTTTGGCATTGCTTAGCATTGCTTGGCATTGCTTGGCGTTGCTTGGCAATGCACTGCTCAGCTTTCCCCGCAGAACCAAAGCAAATATACATAATCCAAGAAGGAACTAAGACCAAGGAACCAGAGGAACCCTGGGAATGCCTCGAGGATCTTAAGCAAGGAACCGAGACCAAGGAAGCCAAGGAACCGGGGGAACGCTTGTGACGAAAAGCGCCCGGTTTCTCTCTCAAGCAAATGTGGGAGAAAGACGTCTTGAATCTGCTATAGACCCCCTCCCTGGCGCGCGGGGCGCGTCTGGAGCAGCGCTGGAGGCGCCACCAGGGGTCAAGCGCCGATCCAAGAAATCCGCGCGGACCTCCGAACGTTCAATGTGTCTGCCGCTGTCTGTTCGGCCAGGGATGGGGCCCTGAAGTGGGAAGGGGCTTCCCTGTTAAAACTGCAGGCCGCATCCCCTCCGGGCCCCGTGTCTCAGGGACCCACTTTTCACTTACCGAGGATAATGAAGTCGGCGGGTCTTGGACATCTACGCCGCGGGCGAGCGAACAGGAGTCGTCATCCAGCACGGCATCGCCATCAGGCGGGCGACGCCGGAAAACGTGGTCGACTCGGCATCGTTAGACCGAGTAGATGGGATGCATCGGCGATGCGGTTCGACGTGGACACTGATTTTCTCAACGCCGACGGCGTCGATGCATTGGCAATGCGGCGGAAAGGAGTAGGGAAAGGGAGGGGAGGGGGACAACATCTGCTGCATGCAGCTGGTTTCGACACCGCCGCAAGATGCTTTCTCCGGCTCCAGGAGACTCTGGGATACGGGCTGCATGAGCTGATTTGCTACCCCCCCTTCACTGATTTTTCTTTGTGTCCGACCCAGGATGAATGGTTTTGTGATGAGCTGATTCGACAAACCCCTTTTCACGGACCCCACTTTTCGTCCGACCCGAGAAGAACGGGTCCGACTAAGCATCGTTCAGCCTATCCCCATCCCCATCCCCACTGGGAACCCCTTGGCCCGCTGTCCGACCTATTCTCCCTGGGTGGGGGTAGATGCCGTCCCTGTCGGGCCTCGCGGCATGCATACCCACCTCGAGGGGGGCGGCGCTAAGAATCCCTGGCCCACTGGGATTGGGGTAGGTCTGGCGATGCCGATCGACTGCGCGCGCACCCGCGTGTGAGGTGCCCTCGTGATGTCGTTCGCAGGCCCCCCTCCTCTCCATCACGCCGTCGTGTGCCGCGTGAGCGGCCTGCTCAGGCCACCGCGGACGGTCGCGCCACCTCCTCCTGCGTGAGACCTCGCTCTCTTTCTGGGGGGAGCTCGTCTTCCTGCCCCTCCCGAGGTGTGGCGGGGACCGAGAGCGAGAAGATCCTGGGGGCACTCGTGGGGGGGAACGCGTCTGGGAGCAGCCCAGCGTCCGATTCGAGTCGCAGGCTCCCGGGACGGCTCCAATCAGGCGATCGCAAACATGGATCTAGTGGGCGTGCATTAGCGACGGGTCCCGTTTCCATGGGAAACCGCGGATTTCCGCCGCCGAGCGAGGCGGCACCGGCCGCATTTTGGGGAGGGCACCACCCCCGATCCAAGGATTTGGCGACCGCGCGCCAAGTCCATGGATCGCGAATCCATGTTTGCGCGCCCCCGATCCAACCACGGCGATAGCCGAGGCCCGTCCTCAGCCTTCTCCCCACCTCCCCCACCACCCAGACTTCAGGCGCACTCTGGCCACCTCGGTCCCTGTAGCCCCGCTGCGGGGCCCAAGGGCCTGCCAAAAGCTACACGCGATGAGGATGGAGGCAAGCGCTCTGTGGGGGTGTGGGGGGTGGGGTACGCCGTGAACATAAAAACGACAGCGCAACAGTATTTTGCTTCGAGGGATCCCCACCGAAATCTTCGGCGTTTGATCCCGAAGGTGCGCGCGCTCATTGGAACGATGTGCGCGGGGTTCGGCGGGCAGAGTGGGCGAGTCGGCGCGGGGGTGTGGTGCTGGTGATAGATGGTGTCGGTTATGCAGAGGGGGCGTTGAATCCGCACGGGCGCGCTTATGTTGTGTTGTGAGGTGTGGTGTTTTGCTATGCTCCGTGTGACCAATTCTGCCACAGCTCATAGTACTATGCTATGCTATGTTTTGCTATGCTGTGACATTTTATGTCGCGCTCTGTCATGTTATGATTTGTCATGGCATGTAATGATACACATTGTTATGCTGTGTTATCTGGTGGCGTCTTCTGTCATGGTATACTATGTGATGATATGCTATGTCATGTTAAGTTTTGACATGCCATGTTATGCTATGTTATGCACGCTCCGACATGTCATGTGATGCGTTGTTCTGCCGTGTTGTATTATGATATGTTATGCCATGTTATATGATGATGTGCCGTGTTATGCTTTGGTATGTTTAGTGTTGCATTGGTTCGTTCTGGTATGCTCGAAACGTCATACTATGATCTGACATGTGCTGTGATGCTGTGCTATGGTATGCACTGTTCCGCCATGGTGTGTTATGTTACGACATGGTCCGTCACGATATGGTTTGTTATGCTCGGATATGTTCTGTTCGGTGGTGTGGTGCTATGCTCTGTTCTGTGGGGGACCTGAGGATCTGGCTGCATTGGTATACAGAGTGGGCGAGTCGGCGCGGGGGGCGGGACCCTGAGGGATTATAATGGGGACCTGGGAATTTGGCGGCCACAAATGCAGAGTGGGCGAGTCGGCGCGGGGGGCGGGACCACCAGGGACTATCGGGAGCCTGGGGATCTGGCGGCCGCGGTATGCAGGGCGGGCGGGCCGGGTGGTCTGTTCTTAAAATCTAGCGACCCCAACCTGTCGGGTGGGGAACCACGACGTTGGACGTCTGCATCCTCATCCTCGTTACTGTGTCTGGGGGTGGCGAGTTTTATCATCAGATCTCCAACGCAGTCACAGGGGATCGTTTGGGGATCGGTCCTGCTGCTCCTCTCCTGCTCCTCGTGCCCCTCCTCCTCCTTCTCCTTCTCCTTTTCTCGATTCTCCGCCTCCTCTTCCGTCGCCCCCTCCCCCTCCTCCCCCTCCTCCTTCTCCCAGTCCTCTGGGCGTCATGATGCTGGCTGATTGAATTGAGAATTGAGAATATTTGAGCCGGGCTGCCATCAGGCTTGTCAAGCAGCTGAGCACCACGATGCGGAGCTTCTTGTGGAGCAAGGGCCACAGGAATCTTCTGATACGAGGTATCACCTCCTTCTGTCAGGCCATGGCTACATTGGTGCTGGTGGTGGAAGCGGTCGACATGCCTCACAAACCGTTCCTGATGGTGTTCCAGCTGGTGGCCTCTGCGAGCCTGATCTGTCAGTGGCGCACGGCCGACCCTCGGATGTTTGTTGTTCGTGGTTGCGCCAGCTGGGCGCAAGCCTCTTTGTTTCTTCACTCGATTCCATGCGGTCGGTCGTGGATCTGGGATCACTGCGCCACCGAAACTTGGTCGACCAGTATGCGTATGTTTCGGATTATGCAGGTGTTCAAATTAGTAAACAGGATTTGCAATGGGCTTTCCCTGTTCTGCCAGTTCCTTTTTCCTCAACGCATGTACGGAGGCCATGGGAATGAGCAACTGTTCTACCGAGGCTGGGTGCAGATGACTGGAATTCCCATAAACTTGACCATCGGCATCCTGAAGTTGTATGGCGTGGATTCCGTCCGGGAACATGAACTCGCTGAGATCTTGATCGATTTCGTTCGCATTCCGATCATTGCAGTTGCTTCTTGGTCCCTGCTCGACCAATGGTACACCACGGGCCCAAACAACACGGGGCATCCATTCAGCGACCTGTACGAGAGCCTGTCCAGAGCCGGCCAGACACCCTGCGCGGCGCTGCGGCTGGCACGCGGCAAGCTGCAGCGGGCGCGCGTACGGGCGATGGAGGGCGCCGCGGCCGCATCGCGCGTGGCGGAGGGCGCCGTCAGGACGGCCGTGTCCACAGGGCAGGTCAGGAGGAGGCCAACTTTGCGCCAGCACCAATCCCCGCCAGACCCATCCTGGGGCCCCAGGGTCGGTGCTGGTGCACAGCTGGCGTCCCCCGACAGGTGGTCGCCGCGGTCCCAGTGAAGCTGGCCTCCGCGGCCTCCGCCACCTTCTCTCCGGTAGCTGGTTGCGGCAGGCCAGTCGCGGCAAACCCCGAGGGGGGCGCCCCCCTCGAGGGCCACCAGCCCGAGCCCGAGCCGTCTCTCACAGCGGTCGTGGGCGGGGACGACGCCGCCGCCGAGAGCTGTTCCCCGGTCAAGGCGCCGCGGTCGACGCCGCGGCCGCGGTCCACCACCCAGCGGGCCGCGCCCCCCCCGCTCGGCGCCCAGCCGCGGGGGACGCAGACGGCGCAGAGGGTGGAGAATGAGACGAGGCCGGACCGCTGGCACTGCTTCCCGGCCAGGATCGCGTGCCATTTCGAGTGCTGGATGTGAGGCGATGTCTCGGACGGCTGACCGAGGCCTGTGTCTCTCACTGCTCGCTCCCCCTATCTCTTATTCTCTCTCTTTCTCTCTTTCTATCCTCGCTATTCTCACACTAGTCTCTCTCTCTCTCTCTCTCTCAAGGCCCTCCAGCGCCCCTTCAGCCATCCGAGCCCCAGGGTCGGATATGATATCGGACTGCTGGACCCCCATGGCTGGAGCGGAGCAGGCACAGGAGGCGATCGCTCCCCCCCGTCGGAGCCTCAGAATCTGCACAGTGAAGGGAGTGGAGGTGCAGCTGTCCCTCGCTTCACGGGTGGCGATCGCCCGCTGCTAGGCCCCAACAAGACCGTCTTGTTTTTCCCCACCCTGAATCACAAGAATCGCAGGGGCCTCAATAAAAATGCCAAATGAGGATACAGCTACAAGACCATGTTGGTGGTCTTGGAGGCATCTTAAAACGGTCTTGGAGGCCGTCTTGCGGCTATCTTGGGCTCTCTTGGGGCCATCTTGGCCGTCTTGGAGGCCATTTTGGCCGTCTTGTAGGCCGTCTTGGGGCCATCTTGGAGGACGCCTCTTCTGGATGGCCAGCGGCCTGGGCCGAAGCCCTAGGGGGAGCTCTTTTGGAAAGAACCAACAATCTTCCAGGCATCTAGCACACCGTGCACTCCTGTGACAAGGAACAGGAGGCGGCGGATCGAAGACGCCTACGGCGAATCACCGCCGCCCCCTGCCTTTCGCAATCGCCCATGTGGCCAAGCTTTGTGGCAAGAGTTCTGCCAAGCTTTGTGGCAAGAGTTCTGCCAAGCGTTGTGGCATGTGTTCCCCCAGCCGTTCTGGAAACCTTTCGGGGAATACTTGGAGGAGGATGGCGGAGAAGATCATGTGGAGGAGGAGGCGGAGGAGGAGGAGGCGGTGTCTTGGGAGCTTCTGGGGGCACTCTTGAGGCCTCCTGGGAGCTCCACGGGGGCCTCTTGGAAGCATCTTGGAGGCCTCCGTGGGCTTCTTGGGGGCCTCTGTGGGGCCTTAGGGGGCTTCTTGGGGTCTTCTTTGGCCGTCGTAGGGCGTTGCGGGCCTCTCTGAACCGACTTGGGGCCCTCTTGGGGTGCTCCAGGGCCGCCTGGAGGCCATTTTGGGCATCATGGAGGCCTCTTGGGCCGTCTCGGGGCCCAGAGGGCCCCCTGGGCCGTCGTGGAGCCATCTTGGAGGCCGCAAGGGCCATGTGGAGGCGATCTCGGGGGCCTCTTCGTCCGTCTCGGGTCGTCCGAAGGCCGCAATCCTTTAGACACCCAAGGCAAATCATTGATTTTGGTCTCTTCAGGCCGGACCTCTGGGAGGCCTTTCGTGCCGTCTTCGAAGGGCCTCCTGGGCTGTCTTCCGCCATCTTGAGCCCATCTTGGGCCGTCTTGGAGGCTTCTTGGGTAAACTTTGAGGCATCTTTGATGCTCTTGGGCCATCTTGGAGAGCATCCTGGGCGAACTTGAGAATTAGTTTGGCCGTCTTGGAGGTATCTTGGGTTATTTTGGAGCCGTCTGGGGCGGGAAAAAACGTTTGCAACCACCTCTGGAAGAGCCTTCCGGGTCGCCATCGCAATGGACCGAATCCTCAGGGGGAGTTCTTTCGGAAAAGAACCAGCACCAAGCCGTATAGAAGTCAGCACGCCAGGCACCCTTGCGGCAAGCCTATCGGGGGCGGCGGACCTCTTCGGTCATTCTTGGGCGCTCCAGGTGGCTTCCTGGGGGTCTTTTGGAGGCCTCTTGGGGGCCTCCTAGGGGCTCTTGGGGGCCTTTGGGGGCTTCTTGGGGGCCTCTTAGGGGCTTCTTGCGCCGTCTTGGAGGCTTCTTGGTCGGACTTGGAAGTATCTTGGGCCCTCTTGGGCCGTCTTGGAGACCATCTTGGACCCTCTTGGGCCGTCTTGGAGGCCATCTTGGTTGGGCCGTCCTGAGGTCATCTTGGAGGACTTTAGGGCCATCTTGAGGCGATCTTGGGGGCCTCTTGGGCCGTCTTGGGCTGTCGGAAGGCCGAAAAGACGCTGATGCCAAAATCTTTTAAACATCTAGAGGAAGTCAATGATTTTGGCCTCTTCGGGCCCTCCTGGAGGATCTCTTGGAGGCCTCATGGGCCGTCTTGGACGTCTCTTGGGGGCCTCTTGGGCCGTCTTGGGCCATCGTGGAGGCTTTTTGGGCGGACTCGAAGCCATCGTGGACCCTCTTTGGCCGTCTTGGAGGTCATCTTGGACCATCCGGACCCCAAGATCGCGATTTTTTGAGGATGCCCCTAGCGAAGACGCCTTCGGCGAACCACCGCCGCCCCCTGCCTTTTAAGATACGCCTACGAGGTCAAACGTTTGGGCAAAGTTTGGCCGCGGTATTGGACCATGCGTTCCCCCAGCCGTTGTGGAAGCCCTTCGGGGAACGCGTGGGGAAGGTAGAGGAGGAGGAGGAGGAGGAGGAGGTTGTTGTGGAGCGACCTAAAGTCAGAGAAAACGATTAAAAGACCCCCCCATCAGAATCAGAGGACGCCTCATCCTCATCCTCCTGGCGGGGCCTACCCGCGGCCTGCCCGAGCTCCCTGACGTCTTGCAGGTCCTCTTCAGACAGGCCGAACGCACTGAGGACCTCCTGCCTGGAGGCAAAGCCCGTCCTCGCACGGGCAGAGGGCCTCCCTGCGGGCGCGGCAGCCGAGGGAGCACAACGGACAGACAGCAAATCTCGCTCCGCCTGAGAGAGGCAGCGAGCCGACGAGAGGGTCAGGAACTTCGACGAGGCTCGACCATGAGGGTGCTTCCCTTCCCGAATTCTCTTCAGCTGATGCTTCACCTGTGGGGACCTCGGCCTGTGCAAGCAACTGTCCAACAGAAGCACACCTGGGCGGAGGTCCTCACAATATGCACCGCACTTGACGCAAAACACAAGCGGCATTCCTGACTTCTGAGGCGAGTCGATCTCGCATCTCATCAGGGCATGCCCGTTCAGGTAAAAGGCACTGGTGGCAACCTCTTCCCAATCGAGCCCGTCCGACCACCCCCTCCCCGCCCACAGACTCATCAATCTCAGGCACAGGCTGAGGCGGCAACTCGTGAGAGTCAGGTGCACACTTTTCCGAAGCTTCAAGGCCGACAGTGTCCAGACGCTTTTCCGCCTGACCTTGCAGGTGCACCTCTAGGTAATTGTGCAGCCCAGTTGGCAGACTCTTTCGCAAGACACTTGAGACCTCTGTACAAGTCTACGTCCTGCTGGCAAAGTTGGTGCTTGGCAGCACCCATCTTCGCATAAGAGTCTACCGAATCATTGGCTCGCTTCTCCCGCAGGGTTGTCTTGCCACTGTGGACATCCGACATCGAGCAGTGAGCTGCCGTCTTAAACGCCGTGAAATCCCCTGGAGAGAAACTGGACCAGAAGGGGGCCCACAGGTGGGCCCTGGGCCCTCCAGCCGAGGCCCCCGCCCCCTGGCCACCCCAGGGGACATCCAGAGTTCCCTGGCAGTCACAATCTAAATCAAAGGGTGCCATCGCACACAGATTCAGCATGTAAACAGCATAGTCCTCCCCATCCTTGGCCGTTTGGCGAGGCCCATGGGAGAAGGGGACGGGTCCGTAACAAGCCGAGATGACATTGCCCAGGGGATCGGCCTGGACTAAGGCCCAACCAGCCCTCGAAAGCCAAGGAATCCCTGGCCAAGAAGCGGACCCATCCGAAAACATTAAACCACTGAGGCGGCCTGTCTCAGGCCTATTAATCCAAAACACAGTCTGTTCAGGCTCTTGGGCAGGGAAGAGCGCCAACGGCGACGGAAAGATCGCACGCGCGAATCTCTCAGCAAGCTCCTCCCCTCCCTCGAGCACACGGGCCGCCCGTCTGGCTAGCTGCGGCGAGACCATGTCCCTCCTTAGCACAGCGTGGGCCGAGCAACGAAATTGTCTGTGAAAAAGGGTCCCCGCTTCCTCCTGACACAGCCTACACTTGCCGCAACTGTGATACCCATGCCTGTGCACTCTAGCTTGAGGCCAGTGCACATTACTCATGAGGCTCCTGAGGGCCCTCTGATGCTGAGGCTTCCAAGAGGAGGATGAGGAGCGAAGGAGAGGCCTCACAGCATCCCAGAAAAGAGGGTACCCTTGGAGCTCATCTCCTACCTGCATCAACGCCTGCCTGTCCGACGCTCTGACGGCCGCCGCGCGGACCTGCGACCGAAACTCCACAGGCGCGATCTGAGAGAGATTCCAGACCTGCCCGAGGTCTGAGTCGACCGTTCGAAAATCACGAAACGTCCAGCCCACACGGGCAAGACTGAGCACTGCCACATCCGCAGGTGTCGCAGCTCCCTGCCATGGGTGCCTTTTCGAATTGGCTCGAGCTATGGCCGCGTCGGCCGTCGCATTCAAAATCGAAACCTTGGGAAACTTATCCCAGACCGCAGTGGCCCATTGAAAGGCCACATGGCCAACATAGGCTACAAACGGGTCAACGATTTCCCCCAGACGAAAAGAGTGCAGCCGAATTCCCATGGAGGCCCCTTTGGGATGACGTCCTAGAGCATGGGCCGCCGGAAGCCTTAGGCCGTGCATGACCGCCGGCGAAATTCCCAAGACACTGCTGCCCCAGAGGGCCGATGCCGTGGCCCCCTTTCTCTGTGCAAGAGCCACACCAGCCCCAGCCTCCCTTAGCAGTCGGAGTCGCTTCGAGCGCGAACCTGCATCGATGAACCTCGCTCGCTGCACTCCAACACGTCGTCGTGAGCCCGTCATCGCATCCGTGCCGAGGTTGCGCGCATGCTCGACCCGAGACGTGCCAGGCAAGCACCAGGAGCCCACAACATGGGCTTGAACCTCTCGAGTGCACAGGTACTTCGTTTTCTTGATGTTCACAGGCAGGTGGAGCTCCTCAAAGCACGCGAAGAGCTGAGTGACGGCACTCGATAGCACCTGAGCTACCTGAACTGGCCGACCACACGCCTGTAGTGCAACGTCGTCTACAACACTGCGGATGAATAAATTCGGCCTACATTGCTGTGTGAGAAGAAGCGGACGGGTCAACAATAACTTAGCCAGTGTCGTCGCTCCTGAGCATCCAGCCACCGCAGCTGCATTCGCCAAGTAGGCCGACGATACGACACCTCCATACATCAGAGCTTTATATCCAGCATAGATCGTACAGTACCCTCTGAGGACCTTGATGGGGAACCCATACTGGAGCCCCGCAGCCCTGAGGTCAAGGTGCCTACCTAATGTGCTCATAGAAGCGGCTCAGGTCTACCAAGACAGACCCACTCTGAAACCCAACTTCCTTGCAGAACCCTCCCAAGAGATTGTGGACCCAGCCAGCTCTCTCACAGGTATTGTGTGGCCCCGTGCCCCAATAGAAGGCCTCTGCATGCTTCTTCTCCCATGCCTGACAGTGTGGCTGGCGGAGTCGCGACCGCAAGCGCGGCGCCAGGCAGGGGAGGCCGATGGGGCGCACGCCGCCGTCGGGCTTGTCTAAGAAGACCATGTTGGTCAAGAAGGCGAGAGGCTCCTGTGGTCTGTCCTCGAACCTGTGCAGAAT